ATATATTTATTCATCAAAATATATGGTGAATGTTGAAATTTTAAAAATTTTATTACAGTAAAAGACACATTGCCCCACTTTGAGGACACTGACTCCATTGCTTGTGCCACTTTCTGAAGCAGTTCTGGAAATCCTCTTTAGTGAATGTCTATTTTGGTTTGTATCTAAAATGCACCCCCACAAGTCTCTATGATGGTAGATTAAGGGTATGATAACTGGATGAGTCTGCTGAACATGGATGGCACCATCCAATAGGCTTTTAGCCTGGATGGGATAGAAGGGAAAGAAATGTTTGTGACTGTTTCTTCTCTACAATGCTACCCTGCCTCAGAGCCAGATGACTATGGAATAAAACCTCTACAAAGTGTGAGCTATAATAAACCTTTCCTCCTTTAACTTATGGGTATGTTATGGCTTGTGTCTAGATGTTCCCCCAAAGCCTCATATGGTCATAGGTAGGGCTTTTCAGAGGTGGCTGGATCTACAGTGTGTGATCCTGTGATTAAGGGTGTATGACTACTAAATTAGTCCACTGATTAGTTTGGCATAGTTCTGGGTAGAATTAAGGGTGCTCCATTCTGGGTCTGAGAGCTACCTGCCCTAAAGGTGGATAGCTTGGATGGAACATAAGAGATAAAAAGATGGTTGTCACTTGCTTGCTGCCTTCTGGATGCCCTGCTTTGCCTCAGACTATCTTCTGTAATGCTTGAAATCCCAGCACTCTTGACAGGCTGAGGAAGGACTGCAACTTTAAGCCCAGCCTGGGCAACTTAGCAACTTAGGAAGAGCTGTCTCAAAATGAAAAATAAACTGCCTGGGAATTAGCTCCACGCAAAGGTCATGGGGTCAATCCCCAGTACCACCAAAACAAGGAGGGGAGATGTTCCTTTCCCCTTAGTTTACCAGCTCTATAACTTCTTTCTCCTGAGTTAACTGTTAGTTTCTTAAATACATCAAAGATATTTCTTGTTCTATGCATCTACTATAAGAAAATATCCAAAAGTAGCACATATGCCCCCAAAAAGATTCTGACAATTTTTATTTCAATTTTGACTTCTTGGGCCAGGGATTTAGCTCAGTGGTGACACCACTTGCCCTGAAAGCACAAGCAAGGTCCAGAGTTCGACCCCTGGTACCAAAAAATAAAATAAAATAAAATAAAGTATAATTTTGACATCTCTACTCAAATGAGAGAAAAAAGATAAAACAAGGCCACCAAGTCAAACAGCTTATTTGGGAACCTGAGAATGAAAGATGAATAAATAATAATTTGGTTATCAAAGAGTAAGAGACAGCCTTGAAAACTCTTGAATATGCCTGTTATTTTCATTTTCATGACAATGTTGCAAAAGGTGAAGTATATTTTTAAAAATCCCAAATAAACACTTGTTTCATTCTTTGTTCTAAGGCTTAGAACAGTTAGAATTACATCTGCACTAAATTTTATGAAACTGAACATAGACTTCATTCATAATTTTACATTTAATTTTTATGATAAATTTCAAAGTAAACGGGGAAGACACCAGGAATTGAAGTTCTTGTTTTAAGTGGGTTCACTTGACCTGGGTCTTTTCAGGCCAATTATCCATGAATCACGCCATGTGTCCTTTCTTTCCTTCGGCAACAACTGTTATTAACACAAAGATAGGAGTGTTGACTGGAAGGTTAGTTTTAAGTTTCTTTTTTCTTTTATTGAGTTTAATGGTACATTTTAGGTGTACAGTACAGTTACATTTATTATTGAGATCTTGTACCTTTACATGACAGGTGGTCTTGGTTCTCATTTTTTCCTTGTCCCCATTTACAAACACTTTATTTCCATTTTTTCATTTTCTCATATTTTTCCCTTATTACCTTTCCCCTACCCTTCCCACTTTCCCTACACCTTTAGCCCTTTTCTTCCCATTTCTCAATGTCATTTATCTCATTAGGATCTTATGTACTATTACAGTTTATTCACACAAGAGAAACTATTTGGTATTTACACGTGACTTACTTATTTCACTTAGGAGTATATCCTCAATATGCATCCATTTTCCTATGAGTCTAATTTATCATTCTTCATGGCTGAGTAGTATTCCATTTTATAGAAAAAACACATCTTCATTATCCAATCTCCAACTGAAGGGCAAATGGGCTGTTTCCAAGTTTTAGCTAATACAAACTGTGCTACTATAAACATGGGTGATCATATATCACTGTGGCATGATTCAATTCTTTTGAAAAGATACCCAGCAGAGGGACAGCTGGGTCAAATGGAACTTTTAATTCTAGTTTTTTGAGGTATCTCCATATTGATTTCTATAGTGGTTGTACCAGTCTGCACTCCCACCAATAATGGAGAAGGATTCCTTTCTCCCCACAGCCCTGCCAGCATTTGTTATTGGTTGATTTCTTGAAAGCAGCCATTCTTTGTGGGGTGAGGTGGAATCTCAGTGTTGTTTTCATCTGCATCTCTCTAATGACCAGTGATGTGGAACATTTTTTCATATATTTGCTTGCTGCTTTTACTTCTTTGTCTGAGAAATGTCTGTTCATTTCAGATGCCCATTTTAGAATCACATCTTTATATTTGGGGGAGCTGGTTGTTTTGAGTTCTTTATATATTCCAGATAATAGTCCTTTTCAATGCAATGTCAATTGAAATTCCAACACTATATTTCACAGAAGTAGAAAAAAGAATTTAAAAATTCATTTGGAACCATAAAAGACCTCGAATAGCAAAAGCCATCCTAGGCAACAGACACATGGCAGCGGGTATAACAATTCCCAATTTGAAACTATACTACAAAGCCACTGTGATAAAAATAGCATGGTAATGGCAAAGAAACAGACCTGAGGATCAGTGGAACAGACTGGAAGACACAAAAACAAATCCAGATATACTCAGCCACCTCATCTTTGTCAAAGGAGCTGACCATCCCCACTGGAGGAAGGATAGCCTCTTTAATAAATGGTGTTGGAAAAACTGGATCTCAGCCTGCCAAAGATCAAAACTATACGCTTATCTTTCACCATGCACTAAATTAAAATCCAAGTGGAATAAAGATCTAAATATTAAAACAGAAACACTAAGCTTGCTGGAAGATAAGTTAGGTAGAACTCTTGAAGACATTGGCATAGGAAAAGACTTTATGAACAAATCCTCAGCAAGGAAACTAGCAGAAAGAATCAATAACTGGGATCTCATCTTATTAAAAAGCTTCTGTACTTCAAAAGAAACCATGAACAGAACTAAGAGACAACCTACAATGTGGGAAAAAATTTTTACCAGCTGCTCCTCAGACAAAGTTTTAAGTTTCTATTAGTAAAAGCAAAACCAGAGAACCCATACAGTCTCATTTAGAAATGCCTTTATTTCAATGTCAAAATAACAGCTGGAGTTGTATTTTTCCTGTAGCAGTAAACACACATCTTAAGTTACAATATATAAAGTGTATGTTAAACAAGTCCACACAAGATAAAAGATGAAGGTTTGCTGATAATATGAACAAATATCCAAAAAATTATTAAGAAAACAGGCTTCTTTAGAAGGTTAGTTCCTCACATTCCACATAGAATTTCCAATGTTGATCCATTAAATGGCATGGGAGAAATTCTTGATCGCTGGTTAAAAGTATTTCATTGATTTGTAAATAATAAGGAATGCTTTGCAGTGACTCACTGGAGCTACCTGTTTAAAAACATAAAACAATTGAAGACTGCCTTTTACAATGTGAGATTCAAATTTAGTCATTATAAAGCCCACAATCTAGTGAGGTCATGCAACAGGTTTTGTGATCAGGCTTCTTCACTCATTCCATTTTTTTGTACCTGAGCCAAAGCAATAAACCAGCACTCCTTGAGCTTCAGAGAGGGAGGCCTATTTGCAGCCTAGCACAACAGGTAGAAAAGGATGGGGGAAGCGTTTGAAGTCAACTGAACAAGACTCTCCCTGTCTTTATATCCAGTAAATTAAGAGAAGGCAACTGTGAAGATGAAATGAGACTTTACACATGTAATGCTAATGCTTATCAGACTGCCTGGCATATGGCAAATAATAAATATGAATCGCTATTATTATTAACACTAGCATTATTACTGAAAAGAATATTAGGTTAGATGATGAATGACCAATTTTCTAGTCTCACCTCTACCACAAACGTGGCCGGTGATTTGAAGCGTGTTACATGGCTTCAACAGACTTTCACTTCTCTAAGAAGTAAGAGGGTTGGTGATTAAGAGGGTTCTCTCAGCTCTATTCTAAGAGGTCAGTGATCCTAAAATTGGTTCATTTAAGCTCCCCAACAGTCTCAATCACTGGCTATACAAGCTATTCATAATCCAGCAAACTGAATCTTATTCCAGATAGCACTGATAAAAATATGACCTCAGCCAGAGGTTTATTAGACATGCCACATTAGCCCAAGAGCTCTGCTCATGATGCTCAGCAATATAAATATTTTATAGCATTAGCTTAGCTATCTGCAGGGCAGCACCCATGTAACCTTCCCCTGGTGACCACCTTCATTTGCCTCTGTGCGAATGTCCCCTTCCCCAAATGTGGCTTCTGTGCTGGTGGAGGTGCTATCGACCTGATTTAATCAGACCTGAGCCAGGTGGAGAGGAGGCACTGATTGGAAAGAAGAGAAACTGACTGCTCAGTCATGCTGTGTGAATCTGGGGAAAAGCCTGACCTGTTCTTTGCCTTTTACATATATGCATTATTATCTTTGTTTGGATGTTTGCTGCTTGTAATACCAAGAATTTTAACTTTTTACACAAGGTCAACATATAAACAACTTTGCTTTTTATAGACTTTCTGAAACAAACCCACCCCACAGAAGTTGGTATAGGGAGCACTCTTCTCTCAAGAAAACCCCAGAAATAAGGCTTTACATATTTAAATTTATTTAATCAAAGTTGGTTTAGTTTCATCATTTAAGCACTATCATTTCTACTACTTTCTTTCTAAAGGTACTGTTGTGACCTGAAAAACTTAATGCATCTATTATAAATTATTTATAATCCACAATTTATTTTTAATTTTCTAATCTTCAGGCATGTACAAATATTTTTATAGGATTGCTATTCAGAAAAAGAAATGACTGATCATGGTTTTACACACATATAATCCCAGCTACTCAGGAGGCTGAGGCATGAGGATCTCAAGTTTGAGGCCAGTCTGAGCAAGTCAGTGAGACCTTGTTTCAAAAAAAAAAAAAATGATTATTTTTTTTTTTAAAGGGCTTGGAATGTAGCTCAGTGTTCCCTGGGTTCAATTCCCAATACTGAGAAGGGAGGGGGAAACGGGGCAGGAAGTAGGACTGCTAAGCTGAAGGGTTACACACACTTAAAATATGGAAAGGTTCTACCAGAGTACCCTCCTCAGTGCATCCTTTTATACTACTGCCAACAGTGCGTAAGAGTACCTGAGAGAGTGCCTATTTTTCTCTCCACATCCTTGCCAACAGTGAATATTATCAATCTTCCTAAATTCCCCACTCTGCTGATAAAATGCTTATTATATTCACTGACATATTCCTGATTACTATTTAATGAGCACTTTTTGTAGTCTTAATGTTCTTTAAAATTTCTTCAACTAGGAAAGTACCTATTAAAGATTCTGTCTGAAATTACTTGATCTCATATTAATCAGAGTATGTCAATACTTAGGTGAGGAGTTTAATCTCTTTATGGACCAAAACTCAGCTACAGAACTGCATTCTTTACAAGGCACTTTTATTGGACTGCAATGTTTAGTTAAATGTGGTGTCTGAGAGAAAAAGCTAAAAGCTCATATCTTGGTAACAACAGATTAACTGAAAATACATATAAATTGAATATTTAACTCAACAACTATTTCAGAGAATCACTGTAAAGTTTTTATTCTATGAAGACTAAAACGGTTTTATTGTCTTGTTTTGGGGTGTATTCTTGCTATGTTGCCCAGGATGGTCTCTTATTTATGGGCTCAAATGACCCTCCCACATCAGACTCTTAAGTAGCTAAGACTAGAGGTGTGCATTACCATACCTGGCTTGAAGTACAATTTTGAGATATCACATTTTTATTACTTTAAAGTATATTAAATATTTTAATAATAAATACATTATTTAGCAACACATTGAAATGACTGCTAGAAGTAGACTCAGTACTGTTGATTATTGATTTCCATACTGTCATCTGAGATGGTGAGCAAAATCAGCAAGTTCATAATGCTTAATTCAAGCACAGTTTAATGGACATTTGAGAAAAACTGTTGTTCTTAATAAAGTACAGAAGAAGCGATTAGGGGTGATGTAGGAATCTGCTGATGCCTGGCACTGGGACTCCTATATGTGGTGCACAAGGGGCACAGCAGGAAGACCCTCGACTGAGAGGCACATACTGATGACAAGGCACAGCGCCCTTTGACCTCAGACTTGGGCTCCATGACAGACTTCCTCAGAGCCAGCCCAACTCCCATTCCACCACTCTGCTGTTAAGTCAGTGTTTAGAGAAGGCCCTTCAATATGCCAAATTACCCAACATAATTTATGATGTCTAAATTAAGTTTCCTTATTTACAGATGCTTAAAAAGGACCTTTGGCAAGACTATTAGTTGCTCCATTTTTTATTTTCTCTCTCACTCCCATTTAACAGAATCTTGGAGGAACATGTATGTCAAGTGGAAAAACTGTATTTTCACCCTTCCTTTGTAGCTAGATTTGACATATGCGTAAATTCTAGCCAATAAATGTCAACCAAAATGTCAAGACTTCAGGAACAGTTGATTAAGGGGGAAAATAGTTATGGAAGGCCTCTTTTGACTCCCAACTTTCCATCTTCCTCAAGTGCCTGGAATGCTAATGTGAGGGCTTGAGATTCAATTACTGTTTTAGGCCATGAGTTGACCCAAAGATGTAAATCAATACTGGGGGAGATGAAACAGGAAGACAGAATTTGAAGTACTGCTATGCTTACGTTGAGATGCCAATGTCCAGACTTTTCCATGAAAGAATACATCTTTTTGCATTTAAGCCACTGTTATTTTGGACTTTGTTGCACACAGCCAAAACTAACCCCACACAATGCAAACCTTTTTAACTGTAAGAAGCAGAACATTTTTACAAAGCTCTAGACTTCCAATTGGTCTGAGGTCTTGAATATTTAGGCACATGGGGAAACATGACATGAAGAAATATAAAACTATTCAGCAGGCCAATTCTGATTTCCTTTCACAATGATAAGGACACTTTAATAACTTCCAATACATAAAGGCAACTGAGTGGATGTCTGAAAATAAATTAATACACATGGAGAAGTCTATAAGGTGTTGCCATCTGGATGGCAAGGTATAATTTATGTAAATACAACCATCTTAGTAACTATGATAACCCCTAATGTCCCACAGGAACTTTTATATACATCATCTCATTTGATCTTCTTGCTTATGTGGAAACAGGGTAAGTTGGTGAAAACCTGAGCAAGTGTGTACACACACACCACAAAACAAAGAAAACTAGTATCTTTTTCCAAAGGGAAAATCTTGCCTTAAAAGTTGTACCTAAAAAAAGGTGCTGTTAAGGACCAAGAGCACTTCAAACAAGATGAGCTTCATTTTATTTGTAAGACGAAATCGTTGTTTATACAGAGATCACCAATCAAGTTACCAAATCGTAGAAAGTAGCTTGAGAGGAAGCAACTTTTCTGTCTTCCCAACTATTACTCTAAAAACAGAGTTGCCCAAAGTTGGGATACTTAAGATTAAAAAAAAAAAAAAAAAA